AGGTTAATCATTGATACCTAAAAATACTACCTCAGTGATATCTATCCACGACCCTTCAAATCCACACGACTTGAGCTTTTTTTCGAGATAATTAATAGCTTCTTGCTTTTTTGGGCCAGATGCAGTAGCCTTGTATCCAGCGTAATATCCAGCAAGATCGCACTTAAAAATTTGAGGACCTTTTTCCTCGTCTATACCAATAAATATAGATGCTAAACTATGAGATGAAATTAATGTTTAAATGAAAAATTCCTACAGATTCCAAGTGGACGCATTGCAGCTCTTTGGGTGCAAACTTGATTGATATTGGCAATACGTTTTGCCAAAACATCAACCGGAATTTCATAACCATATTTATATTTAAAGTCAGCAGCTTCAATACGAGCTCTATTAACAGATGCACGTGCATCCGCTACAAATATTAAAGATAATCTTTTTAAAAAAAGAAATACCTATTTGACCTGTTACGAGACACCCAATATTCTCCGTAATACGAAAGATATAGCTGACGCTATCTTGATCAATAAGTTTATCCTATATTTATAAGATAGAATAAATTTAAAACTATGTTATACAGGAACTTTTTTCTGAGAAATAAAAACGACTGAGTCTTTTCCCTTTATTGCTACTGACGTAATTCCTGTAGAATTAACTGACTTAAAGGCGTATTCTAACATATATCAAGTATATTATATTGAAACCAATGATCTTACCCACTTGATATAACCGGCCTACATATTATTAGATTATAATAAAAAAAAAAACCTATAACCTTCTGGAGAAAAAATAGTAATATGCCTATCATATCCCGTGCTAGAACCTGTCTATTTAGCGGTTTTTAACTGACTTTTTACTTCTTACCTCTTGACATTTTATGGACACGTCATATATTCTGATCGAGGGCTGAGATCTTAAATACCCAGCCCTTGTATTAAATTGTACCATAGAAAAACATGTCTAGACCTATTCACGCGTATCTTCCACCAGGAAAGCCTACATCAGTTAAAAGGAAGAGGATATTGGAGCCTGGATCGGCTAATAAACGAGCGAATCTTGACCAGAGTTATAAAATTAATGTACCAATAAAAAACCTAAATGACGATGAACATCAACAAGATTCATCAATTATTAAGATATTCTCAGCAATTGATCAGGCGCTGGTTTATCATCATGCAATAAATAATGGGGAGGGAACAGCATCTTTTCATTATCTTCAAAATTCTCTTGAAACGCAGGCTAAAAAATCTTTTACATTGGAATCTCTTGAAAAAATCGTAAGCATTTGGCCAGAGTCATTCAAAATATCACCCACAGTAATATTGTTTAATGGTAAACGGGTCGGAAGTCTTTCAATTGATTTTCCTACAAAGGAATTTAACTTAGCTGCTCGTTTAAAACAATTTCGCTCTCGTCTTGAATTGTCACAATCAATTGCAGTAGATCTTAAAAAAATTATCCCAAAAAATGTTTCTTCAAACACTGTTATTTGTATGCCAGAAAAAAAAAGACAAGCAATTCAAGAACTCGAAAAGAAAACTACGTCTACTTCTGATACATCAATTGATTCTAATAAAAGCTTAAAATATCGTCAAACTTCTTTATTGGAACGTGTAAGTGTATACGTATTTTTATATGTTTTATTAATTGATATGAAGATTCGATTTAAGCATAGTCGGAATACATACACATCTCCTGCTTTTGAGCAACTTAATTCTCTCCAAAAATTATCAAATATCGTCGAATGCTTATTTGTGTATGTCCCTATATTTTCTATTTTTCGATTTCTCATATTTTAAGTTTATTAGCAACTTATCCTCGTAAATCTGCATTTTCTATGTCTGAAGTAGTTACAGCACTAACATCATCTCTCAAACATCCCTTATCTATTAGTATGCATTATTATTTTATTTTTCATATTTAATGGAATATAGATGAAATACAGAAATTGCTTAATGTTTTAGTAAATACATTGCCTAAATTCTGTCAGATTATTAAAATTAGTGATACGCTTTCTGCAATTAAATTTTATCGAAATTATAAACTAGCAGAGATAAAAAGGATCATTAAATTAAAGCAAATAGAACTTCAGGTATGAGTTTATTATTGTTTGGAAAAGAAAAATCCTTTGATTATATATTATAAAACAATTTTTTCACTATGTATAGTTGTATTAATATTGTTTATCGTATGAATATTATTTATTTATAATAAAAAATTTACTAAAAATTATACAAAAAAACATTTCATTAAATATAAAAATTATTTATGTTCAATATACTCTTTAATTTTATCCATCTTTGTATCTATACTATCGATGAAATTATGAACTTTCTTCTCATATTTTTTTTCCGCATTATTAATTTGTTTTTTTCCAGTACGATATGCGTCTTTTACATGTGACGTAATATTATTATAAGTGTTTTCTACTTTTTTTTCTAACTGTTCAAATTTTCCCTGAGGTGCCTTTACATTATTATCTAATCGTAGAAATATTGATTAAGCTTTAATTTAAAAAAAAATTAAACTTACAATGATACATATAATAATAAACGGCAGCAGCAGAGCTCACGCCTACGAGTAACATAGAAAGTGCTTTTCTATTAGGCGGCATAGAGAATAATGTTGCCATTTTAAAAATGTATCATTTAAATTGTCGATAATATTATATTTATTAAAATATATGGATTATATTCAACTAATGAAATGGCATGTTCTTATAGTTCCATATTCTAAGTGCATTTTCCGAAAAAATATCTAACATATCTTTTTTAACGAAATATTATTTGATAAGGTAAACGATAAGATGAATCCGATATTTTTTTTGAAAAATAGACATATTCATCAAAAAATAAATAAATATTTTATCAATTAAATCCATATATATATTAAACTGAACAAATTAAAACCTTTTTTGAAAAAACATTATATAAAAATTATGACCCTTGATTTCCGTGAAAAAGCATTTCAAGCATTCCATTACATGAACAAGCATCTTTACAATACTCAATTTGACGAGAAACATGTTTTGATAAACGTAATAAAAGGCCCTGAATTAAGATAGAATGTCCTAATGCAGCTCCATATATATCTACAATAAAATAAGTTTTTATTTAATAAAAATATAAAAATACCAATAATTAACATAAGAACTTCGATAATGATAAATACGTATCGAGGATTTGATAAATAACGAATAAGCCAGCGTAGAATAGGCTCCAATGATACATCATCGCGATTTTGTAAAGCTTGGTATAATCCCGATCGATGCTTCAACTCATTAATTACAGTAAAAGTAGCAAGAGGTGATTTCTAAAATTTAGTTAGCCAAAAAATAAAGAAATCATTAAATCTACATTTTCTATAACCAAATCCAACGCATCTGCATAATGAAAAGATTTCAATGCTTTATCGTATGGACGAAGTGCCTTTCTTTTCTTCTCTACAATTAAATTCCCATAATTCTGATTATTATTTTCATGAATCATTTCAGTATAAGACTGCTTCAATTTATTCCGATTTTGTGGAGCAGATTTCGTTATTTGACGTGATCGAATAGAAAGCAAGCCCGATACCATTCCAACAGCAAGATGTTTATTATCCGGCTAAATTAAGATTTAGATTCAGTTTTAATAAATAAATTTAAAAATACAGATAATCCCAGAGATAATATTGGCGCAGGATATTTAATATCATGCACGCTTTTCCAATCTTTAATATCATATATTTTTACATGACCATCAAGCCCCCCACTAAGAATCCTAGAATTTTCATTATTTTTAGAAAGACATATAACACTTTTTTGGTGGCTCCGTATAATTTTTAAAGGCTTATTTTTACCCGATATCATGTCCCAAACCTTAATAACTGGTCCACCCGCACTAAGAATTATTGAACCATCTTTTAAAGATAAAACAGCATCAACACTTTTCCCATGATTTAAATTCTTTATTTCGTTCTTTTTTTCAGGCATTCTTGTGTCCCATAAACGAACTGTACCATCATAACAGCCACTTAAAACAACATGAGACATAGAAAGAAAATCAGCAGCTCTTATATAATCGTTATTTCCCTGAAGTATACAAGTTTCTGTTGATGTTGGTAGATCCCATATACGAATTGTTTTGTCATCAGATGCAGAAAGAAATGTTGTAAGACAATAAGGAGAAAACTTTGTTACATGAACAGGAAGTTTATGAGAATAAAGACTTCGTAAGATAGAACGAGATACGATATCAAACAACTAAAAAACATTAAGATCCATTAAACCACAGAAATCTAATAGATACTTGAACGACTCCCGTATTATCGCTAGCAATCAAAAGTTTTCCGTCTGATCGTATTTCCCCAGAATAAGCTATATCTTTGAATCTAGAAATTGTTTTTTTTACTGTTCGTGTTTGAGAAGAATAAATTTGTATACGTGCTGAGCTTGTAACAGCAAAGTCATGAGGTTCTTTGTAACAAAAATGAATATGCGAAATAGAAGCAATTTCTTTAATAGCGACTTTTGACTAGCACATTATCAATCCCGTACAAAGGCGTATTGACGATTATAAAATAAACTACCTTAAATCCCTGCCAATACTTTTGTTCAGGAGTGATTGGTGAAGGCCCGGCAGAAAATTTACTAGGCACAAGTCGCGGAGCAGGTGCAGCCATAGCTAATTATTTTTTCTTTAAAGGGTTAGAGTAGTAATCGATTTATAAATGAATAACCCCCGAGATTTTAAACGCTGCTCATTGATAAGTCGTTCTTGAGCGACTTTTACTTGTAAACATATTAAATAAATTGCTTATCTTTAAAATTAATAAAAAAATAGAGAAATCAAATAAATAAAATTTTAAATGAAACTAGAAAAATAATAGAGATTTATTAAAATGATTTTTAACAACAAATATAAAAGAATATTGTAAAAAGTACTTACATTGACTAAAATGAATATGTTTAAAGCAATATTAATAAAAGTTATGAGTAAAAGGTTTTCCTATAAAAAGCTCCATCCGCTCTCCCGGAATCGAACCGGGGACCACTCGGTATCTCATTTGTTAATTATATTCAAAATCGACCTTTACAGCCGAGGGCCATAACCAACTAGACCAAGAGCGGGATTCTGAGTACTGCGAGAATATGTTTATTATATATTATTATTAATGAATAATTAAATCTTAATTTAATCTTAAAGATTTATTGATTGATGATATAGAAAAATCTATAAGAAAAGCCCATTCATAGGGAAATAGATTAGATTTCGTTAGATAGCCTTGTTTCTTTAATTTTTAGAGTTGAATACAAATTAATATTGTTTTTTCGCTTTTTAAACCCTATCAAAATCATTTGATATTTGTTACTTTTTTTCAACATCTTAAGCACTGGTATTAAAGAAAATGTCAGTGCTGGAAGAGCCACTTCCTCCTACTTTGCAGAATATTCTTGACCAGCGATCACTAAAATGGATTTTTGTTGGTTATATTTTCCATACTTTCTTCTTACATTATGACTAATATTAATAGGTGGTAAAGGTGGAGTTGGAAAGACGACTACATCTTGTTCACTTGCTATTCAATTGTCCAGAGTTCGAGAATCAGTCCTTTTAATCTCTACAGATCCTGCTCATAATTTATCTGATGCTTTTGGTCAAAAATTTGGTAAAGATGCTTGTAAAGTAAATGGATTTGATAATCTTTCCGCCATGGTTTTCATAGTAAGGTCTCACTGCTCAAAACTCACTTGTGTTAGGAAATTGATCCCAGTTCTTCCATTCAAGAAATGATTGAACAATGTATTTTTATTAAAACACCCAGGTTCTTACTCATCACTTTTTAGCTGAGCTGCAGCCTAATAATCCTATCTCTGGTATGATGCAAGATTTGGCATTTGCTATTCCAGGTGTTGACGAGGCTATGGGATTTGCTGAAATTATGAAACAAGTAAAATCTATGGAATATTCTGTTTGTGTTTTTGACACAGCACCCACTGGACATACTTTGCGTTTTTTGTCTTTTCCTACAGTTCTTGAAAAAGCCCTTACTAAAATCTCGGGACTTGGCTCACGTTTTGGTCCTATGCTTAACCAAATGAGCAGCATTATGGGTCTTAATTCCAATCAAGATGAAATGTTTAAAAAGCTTGACCAAATGCGGACAACCATTGTAGAAGTAAATAATCAATTTAGGGATTCAGAACTTACTACGTTTGTTTCTGTATGTATAAGCGAGTTTTTAAGTTTATATGGTAAAGAATTGGAAAATTTATGTACTATTTAACTATCTAGAGATGGAACGTATGATCCAAGAGCTCACGTCATATGAGATTGATACACATAATATTGTTGTGAATCAACTTTTGTTAAATATTGAAGGTGAATCATTTATTGAAATTTAAATATTTAAAATCCATCTTAATCAAGCTAGGCTCTGATTGCCAACAATGCCTTTCACGGCATAAAATACAGAAGAAGTACCTAGATCAAATTATGGAACTTTATGAAGACTTCCATATAATTAAACTCCCTCAAATCCCTACAGAAGTTAGAGGCGTCGAGGCTCTCAAAAAGTTTTCAGAAATGCTTATTAAACCATATCAAGTGAGTTGTTGAATACAGTGTATATATGCCAGTTATATATTGGGCATTTCTAAATGCAATATGACTCATAACTTTATTCACAAGTAATTAAAAATAAGTTTAACATATTTATTAATTCAAATGACTATAATTTATATTCATTTTTTTCTATAGAAGACTTCCGTATACACTCAATATCTCACTGAATTCATTCTATGGTATACAAAATCACGAAAACTTTTATATTTTGTTTTTTTCTCATATTATCATCTATTGATAATTTTTTTCCTGTGTATATAAAACATAAACTCTCTCTATCCTTCATGTGGTCGTTTAAGTCCTTGTTTATGAGTAGATTCTGAATTTATTGAATAACTTTTAGAAGACAAAAATTGAAGCTCTTCTTTTTTTATTGAATTTAATGATAAATTATTTTTAGTACTGGATGTTAATGGTTTTGAATAATATGGTGGTGGAGGAGGAACTTGTATAGGATATGGTTCTTTTGACACCAATTTATGATTGAAAGAGTACGATTGATTAATAGATGAATTTAATATTTCCTTAGAAACTTCCGAGCTTTTAGGTATTTGAGTCATGAATTCCAAAGAAGTAGATGTGGTGGTTATATATTGTTTATTTTCCGTAGACAAATCATTTAATGATGTATGCATTTTTTCATTAGTATTGGGTAATAAAGTAAGATTTTTAAAAATATTAGAAATAAAATTTTTATGATTTTGATGTTTCTGAAGTTGTTGGTCTAATGCGACAATTAGTGCATTTGCAATAGCTGCTGCATTTTGAGGAATTTTAGCATCAGGGCCAAGTTGAGTTATAATATATCTTTGCAAAAAAACAATTGCTTGAACAACTATTTTTATATATAACTACGTTTTCATTATATATGTGTTTTCACTTACTTTGTATTTTATTAGAATCATTATTATCGTTAACAGTATTAAAATATTCGGGGTTTAATGCTAACTGACCATCATGCATGATAGCGATAGGAATTGAATCCTCTGTAGTCCTCGAAGTCTCACCTTCCATAATGGAAGGTGTTAAATGTTGATATGAAGAAATTATGCTTTTTCTATTTCGTTTATAAATACCATCCTCAAATTGACGTTGATATTCAGAATTTATCATCCAAAAGGAGCCCTTCCCAGGTTCACCATCCTTCCTAGATATTTTCTTAAATGCTTTATTAAGAGATAAGCTATGTCGAATAGAATTCTGCCAACCATTTTGTGCATATTTATAATATTTGTATGTATCAGTAATCCATTCATAAATATCAGAGAGTGTCATTTTTTTAGAAGGAGACGATAGAATAGCCTGTGCAATCAATGATGCATAGGACAAATTTGGCTTACTATGCTCTTTCATAGAAAGATCAAATGATTCGGCATGAGAAAGCACAGATTCATCATAAAAAGCGCTATCCACAACATTTGATGTCTTACTATTCAAAACCTTTGAAGATATTGGTAGAACACTTGGTTCATCCGTTTCAATAAGATCTAGTTCCACATTTATATTGGGATGTGTTAGGAGAGACTGATCAGTTGATGCGCTATTTGAAAGTAAAGAAATATCCTGAGGAAATTCTAATTTTTCAACCCTTTGATTTTCTCTAATATTTTTGTTTTCAATATTTTCTTTTCCTGTAGATTTTGGAAGTAAAAATGTAAAAAGCACTTTACCAATTTGAATTTTTGTCCTGATATATATTCAAAAAAAGACGAAATAAGGATCAGGAGAAAAATACTTATCATATAAGGGAATAGTCTGTCCGCATTCTACGAATTCTTCATTTATAAAAGCACCATTCTTACCCATTACGAAAATCTCAAACCGTTGAGAAGTAAAATCATAGAACAACTTTGCATGCTGACGAGAAATAGCTTTTGTAGATCCTATATGAACATCGACCTGATCCATTTTATTTACCTTTCGCCCTATAATGACCTGTAATGTCTGGATATAAAAACTAAACGCATCGAATTCTAATTTTGCATAAGCTTGCACATTTCGTGATGGTTGAGATTCTATGATGCTAGTATCTTTACTCTAAAGATCTTTAAGACAAAGTTGAGCTTGGAAAAAGGATGTAAACCTTTATCATAATATCTAAGAATTTTAGTTTGTATGTCAAATGTGAGTGATTTTTCATACTTCTTTTTAGAAAAAAATATATGGAGCAATATAATTAAAGAAATAGGGTGTGACTATAGGAAATAGACATAATAATAGTATAATTTATTACTTTCCTGGCTATTAGCCAGTTTTATAAAAATATTACGTTAAGTTAGACGACTCGAATAAGACAGAGATTGTGGTTAGAAAAATTATAAAAAGCTACTTTAAAAAAATATAACAAAATTATATAAATACTGTGGATATGTGATTATTTTTTAGATAAAGTACATATATATTCTAAAAGTTATTTATTAGCACTAAAAGATTTGATACTAAGGTTTAGACATAATTATATTTGTATGTCATGCAGGAAGATGTAATCCGTGGGCCTATTGCCTCTAATATTGCTCTTCTTTCAGACATCTACTCGGATGTATCTCTTTTTTGTGGAAAAAAAGTCAGACTTTTAGGATGGTAATCTTGAAATATTATTTTTAATTTCTCATTTATTTATAATTTCTAATTTATTCAATAATTAGCGTTTCAGACTATGATCCCGCATCCTCAAGAGCTCTTATTTTCCACTCAACTTATGCGATTGAAGTGGATGTTTCATTTCTTCTCTCTAATTTACGATTTGATATTGGCGACTGGGTCTTTGTCATAGGAATAATTGAACAAGTATCTATTAATATGTCATGGAAACGCTTTTCCCTCTCTAAACGTATGTGCATAATAGAAGGCTATGTTTTAAAGGCTGTTCTTTTTTGGAGCGCAGGAAACATTGATGTTGATAAGTATGAGAGAGTTGTAAGAAAACGATTGGAAGATTGATTATGTAGAAATTATACGTAATAAGGATATTTTGGATTTTAATAATTATATGTTGTGTTAATATAATTATTTGTCAATTTACAGCCAAAAGATGATTTCATTCATGAATATTAATCGGCTAAAAATTAATCCTGATGACTGGGCATATTTTTCAGAAGGAAATCGCAATGTTATATTTAAATATACAGGAAATGATTCTTTTTTTGTAAATTATTCTGAAAAATATGATAAATTATTAATTTTTAAAGACAAACAAAGTTTTGAGAATAAAAAAGATGCACCATCCCGTATCTACACTAGAAAATGTAAATTTCATGCAGAGGGTTGTAGCTCCCCTCTTTCATGAACCTTTTGATCGTTATTTATTAGCTATTGAGCCTATTGCTTTGGAAAACATCTTATTAGAAATGTTTAATATTCATCTCACTCAAAATAACAAAAGAAAAAAAAAATGTGAAAATACTCTATTAGACATGAATGAAACACATGCAATTCTGTTAAGAGATTTATCTTCTTCAGATTTTCCAAAAAGCACAATAGAATTTAAAGTTTGTTCTATCCTATT